TTTTATCCGTGGCTTTTCGACCGACCGTGTTGGGGCTTCACCCTCCAGCCTGATGGAAAATGGGGTGTGTCGACAACCGGCCTTCATACTGCACCCCTCTCAGTACTGCTTGCCCCGCACACAAAATAAACCAAAGACTGCTAAGAATCTAGGATAAGGCAGGGTTTCCTGGAGGTGCTGGGGAAGACGAGGCGGAGAACGAGCAAAGGCCGCTTATGGAAATGAACTGCGTTTGTGAGCCGGGGCCTCTCAGGCAGAGCCCTAGAGGCCTGCGCGCCCTCCAGGGCAGCAGCTCGCCAGAAGACCCAAGGCGCGGGACGGGTCGCGTTTCCCCGAGGACGGGGACCTTTGATGGACAGCCCGCGCTCCCCGGTTGCAGTGCAGACTCGGGGGTGACCCGCCTCCCCTGCCCCTCCGCGCCCACTTGTTGCGGGTCCCGCCTGGGACCTGCTTGTTCTGCCCGCTGACTGTGAAAGGGTTTGGCTGGCCGCTGACCCGGGGTCAGGACTCTCTCCGCAGTAATCCTGCGGTCCTTCGGCCCGCGCATCAGTCGTCTTAATCCCCCACCCCCTCCGGCCGGCGCGGGCCCCAGCGAGGTGGGCGCCAGGACCGCCCCCGCACACACCCACGCCCCGACGCGGCGCAGGAAGAGGACCCAGCGCCCCCGGGCACCCGCCCGACCCCGGCCCGTGCCCCCGACGGGGCGTCCGGGCGCGGCCTCGGAGGGGAAGCGGACGCGCGGGCGCCAAGACAAAGGGAAGGCCGGGCCGTGCGCGGAAAGAGAGCGATGCAGAGCTGGGGCGCAGGGGAGCGGGGTGCTGGGGGACACGGGGGCCGCGGACCAAGAGAATGGATGGAGGGGACCGCGAAGGGAGAGGGCGCCGTGCTCGCGCTCGGCCGAGGACAGAACCCGAGTCAGGGCAACTTGAGAAGCCGGGCTGGGCGAGGGGCTGATGGCCGCGCCAGGGCCTGAGCTCCGCAGGAGGCCGGCCCCCGTGCTGGACGGGTCGCAGAACCCGGGCCCGGGCCGCAGGGCGCTGCCCGCCCGCGGCGCTGCCCTTGCTGGGTTCCCGGGGGCGGGCAGAGCGGGGTCCCGCGGACGCGCAGCTGGAGAGGAATGGCCGGGCGGGAGGAGGAGGAGGAGGGGGATGGGGACCGGGGAAGGGGGAGGGGGAGGGGGAGGAGGGCCGGGAGCGGAGGATGCTGAGCGTTGCCCCCCCCCACCCCCCGCAGCCGTTCTCGCCCTCCGGCTGGGGAGGCGGTTTGGAGGCCCGGCGCGCAAGGGAGAGGAGGCCGAGAGTTCGGCTCCAGCGCGCCCGCTGCGCCGTCCCCACCCCGCAGGGCTCCGGGGCGCCCCCAGCCCTCCCCATCTGGCCCGGCCTTTCAATCCCGCCAAACAGTCGCGCTGGAAAACAGCTGCGCCAAGGCCAAGTCTGCTGCTTTTCACTAGAAGTTTCCAAGGAATCAAACCTGATTCGATTCTGCCGCGGAGCTGGCGGAGCCTCGGGCCCGCAGGCCAGGCTGCCCAAGCGGGGTGGGGGCGAGGGCGAGGGCGAGGGCGAGGGCGGGGCCCCCTGGAACCCACTGAGACCGAGGGCCTAGGGGTGGTGGACCTAGGCCGAGCTGGAGCGTGCCTCCCAGGAGCACGCGTTCTGGGGCGGATTTCTCGAATTAACCGGAATTTTCCTGAGACAGAGATATGCGGTGCCCAGTCTTTGTCGAGAGAATGAAATGCGTGAATATGCGCGTTATTCTTCTCCCACACGCACAATTTTAATAGACCCACCGTCACACTCCCAACATCTGCAGATCAGGCGCGCTACGCCCGCAACTCTTGTAAAAATTAATTCGTTTCATCTAGTTACTGGTGGGTTTCTTTCAGGGAGGGTGTCAAAGTGTTAACGAGAACAATAACAAAGGGCCAGTAAGCTGAAAAACAAGACAAAACAAGAAAGAAAGAAAGAAAAGGAAAAGGAAGGAAAGAAGGAGGGGGTGGGAGAAAGAGAAGGAAAGTGCCTCAAGCAAACCTAAGGCCCTGTTCAGAGTCGGGCCCTGCACAATGGCTGGGTTAGGAAGAAGTCACGCAGTTGCCAGCAAGAAGTTATGAAACTTTGTCCAGGGCTGGAAAGGATCCTATTCTCGTTCTCCGCAGGGGTTTCAAACAAACTTGCAAAGATCTACAGAAATACCACTCTGTGATTTGGAAATGAGTAGTCATTATGTCATACTTATCATCATACAGAATTTCACTTTATGAAAACAAAGAGCATTACTTGGGCAGGAACCGAATTCGCAGCTGAGTGAGCTGTCTGAGGCCCTCCACTAATTTAATCTGGAGGAGAGAAAGTGGCCTGGCCATGGGATCTCAGCCCTGATGAGCCCTTGCTAATCCCTCCGCTCCCACCTCCCCTTGTTTTTTAATTGAGTCATTAGAGAATTTATATTTGTCTTTCTCCCAGTAGTTCTAAAGGGAATAAAGTGGCTCGAAGCACCTGGCATTGAAGATTCCAGCTAACCATGGATGGAACGCAAGCCTGAGAAATGCCAGGCTAAGCCCTTCTTCCAGGCAGACAGGCCGTAATGCCCGGTGTTCCCAGTACCATGACTGAAGTTTTTGTAGTCTCCTCCATTTAAAGTGAGGCTGCATTACTAATATGTGTGAAGAACCAAGACTTAGGCACCCACAGTCTAAGGTACTCAGAAACCTGGGCATACAAGTGGGTGAGCATGGCCACACAGTGTCTCCCACTGAAGTAAGGACAGGGCGCTGCTGAGGTGTGTGTGGGGGGAGTCACCACAGGGCCTCGGCAGGAGCTTGTAAACCCTGTATTCTGGGGTGAAAGTGGCCTGGCCCTGCAAGCTCACTGTGGCATTAGCATCACCGGCCTAATGTCCCAAGGCACCTCCCACAGTGGGTTGCTGGTGGCACTTGTTCCAACTCTGTTTTTCAGCACAGCTATCCATATGCAAGCAAACACTTTCAGAAACAAGTTTAGAGAGAGATCAAACCCTAAAAGAAAAAAAAAAAGGGAGGGGCTTTTATTATCTTGTTAGAAACAGTGGACATTGTTCTTGATCTTTTTTTTTTTTTGCAATTGCTTTAACGCATGAGTGGTCTGAACACAATTATCAAAATGATTCCAAAAATTCACACTTGTGACTTGTCAGATTAGCTCTACACTTAAAGCTGTTCTCTAATGCAGGCTGACTGGGTTCTTACTCTCTTGATAGACTAGGCCCACTTTTCTATCTAGTCTAATAGTATAGACTATCTTCTGTACTCATTCCAGGACAAGAACAGATACAGAGAAATCGAAACAAAATAGAAATGAGGGGAGAGGCCAAGGCTGCTGAAATTAGCGTATTTCCCACCTGGACTTAAAGGTGTTTTTTTTTTTTCTTCAAAAAATAGAAATTTCAATCTTAACATCATGATTAATTTCAAAGTGTATTTGCTACAGTATAACTTTCAAATGCAATGTTTAATGCTGTCAGATTACTTGAAGACAAAGTTTTACAGAAAACTTTAAATTCCAGAAAAAAACTGCAATGTACCAATAAACACCTAGAAAAAATATAATTAAAAAGTTTAAAGCATCAAACAAGCTCGAGATCTTCTCAGGAATAATAAATAAACACGGCATTTTGCGTTCACATCGGTTAGCAACTTGTATCCCAGCTCACGCGTGGGGGGGGGTCAAATTGTGTGTGAAAATCAGTATTATTTTGCACTTTCCCAGGGAGGAAGGGCAGGAGGGGTGAGGATGGAGGAGGATTCAGTGGCAGTGCCTTTTGGCTCAGTGATCATTTACTGAACCAACTTCAGATTCATTCCACTTGCAATTCTAATTTCAGGGGGATTGGAGGCGCCTTGCCCTGGCGGTGGTCTTTGTCCCCTCCTTGGCCTGGTCCCGACATTGGGCATTCCCAGTCTTCCTAACCTCTGGACCAAGCTGCTTCCTAGATGTCCTGGCGGGTGGAGAACAGCTCCACACTGCCGCAGTTAAACAGCTAAACCATACAAAGATATTTTTGTAATTATATCTCGTTCTGTATCAACGCTTCAACTCTACAAAATAGTCTATGGATTTTAACTTTCCTGCCCTCCCTTTGAGTAAAGCTCTGAAAACGCTCCCTTCCGCTCCCTCGTCCCTGACTTTTGCGTCCTGCTGACTCCCCTCCACCAGTTTACTAATTGTATTTTGAACTCATAAAACATGCATATAAAATTAGCACGTTTCAATTTTATGGGGAAACGGGCTTTTTCTCGCTTAAATGTATTGACTCACTCGCATTTTTAGGGGACTCTGTTTTCGTTTTTTAGATAAAGGCTTGTAGGAAACTATGTACAAAATCTGACTCCTCCTCCCCGCACCGCAACGCCTAAAATAAAAATCTCACAATGCATTTACAAGAAATAATACAAAACCAAAAGTGGAAATGCTCAGATACAGAAAGTTTTACAAAATCCAGAATATAACTCCGCCGTCTTGGGGTGGGGGAATCTTTCTGTATAAATTAACAAACCAACTCAAAGGAGCCATAACAACTACAAAAGCTTGTGAATGTTGCATCTGCCTTACTACATTTATAACAAGGGAGGACGGCTCGCGGTCGCTGGGTCGCCGGCAGTCAAGCCGTTGGGAAGCTACGCAGGAAGGAAAGTTAGCGCGCCGGCCGTAATACAAAAGTTGGCGTCGCTTCGATGGGTTTTGTCTTATTGTCCCCACAAACAGAGAAAACATTTTCTGCCTCCTCCGTGGACGATAAATACTGTACAAAAAGTCTCAAGAAAACACCTAAGTTCAGTCTAAATGCAAGACTTGGGTGAGCGCCTCGTGGTCCCCAGGAGCTCCTGGAAAGGTGAGCGAGGACACTTGTGTCACCTGGTAGTGTTCTCCAGTGTTTTCATTTTTACAAGAACATGGAAACGTCTGTCCAAAAGCAAGGCCGCGCTGGCTCAGCGCCGGCCGAGAGCCGCAACGTCCCAGCGGCCCCGCGGCGCTAGATGTGCGTTAGGGGCACCGTGCCGTTCACGCCCGCGCCCGCGCCCTGGTAGTGCTGCGGCAGCGAGTGCAGCCGGCTCTGCGCCGCGGGGTCGCCACCCTCTCCCGCCGGCAGGTACATGCTGATCATCTCCCGCAAGTCCCCGGGGCACGGCGCCCGAGAATGCGCTGGCGCCGGCGGGCTGCCGCTCGGCTCCGACTTCACCAGAGAGCCGAGCGCGCCCAGGGCGCCCGACGACGCGGCCGCCGCCGCCGCCGCCGCGGCCACTGCCGAGTTCTGGTGCGCGCCGCCCGCAGCGGCGGCGGCAGCGGCCGCGGCGCCATAGGGAAGGCCGCCGTAGCCCGAGGGCGACGCGCTCATGTAGCCCTGGGAGTTGGAGATTGGGCTGTACTGCAGCGCGCCCATGTCGTAGCGGTGCATGGGCTGCGGGTTGTGTGGATGCGCGTGCGGATGGTGCGGGTGCGGGTGCGCCGGGTGCGCGTGCGGGTGCGCGCCGCCCGCGCCCGGGTGCTGCCCGTAGGCCAGCTGTGCCTCTTGCATCATGGCCGCGGCCGCTGCCGCCGCCGCCACCGAGCCGGGGTAGGCGCCGTTCGCCCAGCCATTGACGTGCGCGTAGCCGCCGCCCGCTGCGCCGCCCGGGCTCTCCAGGCGCTGGCCCACGGCCGCCGTGCCCACGCCCACGCCCATGGCCACAGCCGCGCTGCCGCCGCCGGCCCCGGCCGCCAGAAGCCCGCCGGCCAGCGAGTACTTGTCCTTCTTGAGCAGCGTCTTAGTCTTGCGGCGCGGCCGGTACTTGTAATCCGGGTGCTCCTTCATGTGCAACGCGCGCAGTCGTTTGGCCTCGTCGATGAACGGCCGCTTCTCGGCCTCGGACATGACCTTCCACTCGGCCCCCAGGCGCTTGCTGATCTCCGAGTTGTGCATCTTGGGGTTCTCCTGGGCCATCTTGCGCCGCTGCCCGCGGGACCACACCATGAAGGCGTTCATGGGGCGCTTGACCCGGTCCTGGTTGGCCTTCGCGCCCCCACCGCCGCCGCCCCCGCCTCCGCCCCCGCCGCCGCCACCCGCCCCGGCCGGGCCCGAGAGGTTCGTGGGAGCCTGGGCGCCTCCAGGCGAGTGCAGGTCGGTCTCCATCATCATGCTGTACATCGGGGCGGCTCGCGGGTTCACGGGCACCGCGCGGAGAGGGCCTGGAGCATAGACGGCCGGGTGGTGGGGGAGATGGAGTGGAGCTCAAATCGAGCGAGCCGGGGGATGGGGGAGCTAGCAGAAAGAAGAATGGGGGTGGGGTGGGGGCAACGACAAAAAAGAGGCAAAAACACACGCACTCAGCGCTGGTCCGGCTCGCAGGTGGAAAGTTTCTCCTCGTGCACAAACCACTTGCCAAAGCGGCCGACGGCTAGGGTCGCCGCCGCCGCCGCCGCCGCCGCCGCCCGGTCGCTCTCGGCCCAGCTGTGCAAACAGGTGCAATAGTGGCCAAGTTGCTGCTCCACTTTCTGGGCCCGGAGCGATGCGCTGGGCCCGGCCTGGGGTTCGCTGCCTCCTCCTCGCCCGCGGCCGCCGTGCGCTGCCTTCTTCCTCCTGTGCTGGTTCCTCTGCGGCCTCCAACTCGGGGCCCGCAACTTCTAGCAGGGCGGCGCGCCGCGTGCGCTGGGCATGTGCCGGTCCCAGGTGCCCGGGGGGGACCGGGAGCCGAGGGGGGTAGCGGGAGCGGAGGGGGCCCCAGAGGGGGCGATCGCGGTGCAGCGAGGCGCGGGGGGGGGGGTAGTCAGGGACAGTGCAGAGTGTGCAAGCTCGCGGACAGCGCCAGAGAGCCGAGCTGCCTTGCCCAGGACGTGCTGTCCGCTGCCTGCCCGGGGCCGTGCGCTCGGAGCGGAGGCGCACGCGGGGCCGGCGGCGCGCGGGGCCCAGCAGCCATACGCCGGGCCCGGGCTGCCATTAAATGAGCGCGCCGCGGCCAATGGGAGCCGGCGGCGGCGGTGATTTGCATGGCGCGCTGGCAAGTGACGTGGGGAGGGAGTAGAGACTGTGGGCGCGGGCGGCGGAGCCGGGAGGAGGAGAGGAAGGAGGGGGGAGCAGGGCAGGAAGGAGGGGGGAAGAAGGCCCGGGAAGGGGGGGGTCACAGCCACATCGCTTCCTGAGCGCGCGCGCGGCGGCAACGGCGAACCCCGAGCTCGCCCCCTTCGTCTCTCCCCGCCCGCGCGTTCCGATTGCTTTTAAAACCAAAAGGAAGAAAGAATGGCTGGGGGGCGGGGAAGGGGGCAGAGATTCAGCCCCAGGCCATGTTTAAATGCGCGCCTTGGAGGCCCAGCTCCTCCTCGGTTCCCCGCCAGCTAACTCTGTGCCTGCAGAGAAGGGGAAAGTTGGCTACAGAAGCCCTCAGCTAAGTCCGAGTACAGAAACGGAGGCGAGCAGGGGAGATCGTCAGAAACCGCATAACCCGAAAGCCCCAAGGGTACCCCCGCAAGGATCCTGACAGTTGCCCCCTCCCTTCCCCCTCGCTTGAAAGCATCTTTCACTGCGGCGGGTGGAGTTCTCCAGTGCTCGCTCCTGCGGGGAAGGCCTTCGCAGTCCAGGCTCCATAATTTGGGCATCGGGGGCGCATTTGTGTGGCACATGGCTCACAGCTTTCTTTTAGTATCAGCCCTGAGATTTTTTTGGGGGGGTGGTGGTGGTGTCTTTTAATGAACCTGGGAGTTATAGTCCGTTTGCTTCCTTTTCTTGAATTTCTTAGGTCAAAAACAAGATCTATTTGGAATCTAGTCATTCCAACAGTTGAAAAAGTTTGTTGTAATAGCGAGAGAATAATCTAGCCCATGCTTTTCTGGAACGAATCTTCCACAAGCTGAGTGCCTAAGAACCGCGGCAAATGCGGGGGCCCAACCTGATACCAAATCAAAAGGTGGGACCTCATGACCACGTTCCTACAGTATGCAAAAAAAAAAAAAAAAAGGCCTGCTTGTGGTAAGATTAAGGCATCCAATCTGCCGCTATAACTCTTTAATTTCAAAATATCTGCATTCTGGGGACATACAGGAAGACTTCCAAACTCAGCCTTAAACGCTATTGGGTTCAGGCCGCCATTTCCAGGAGAATGATAGGAAAGTGGCTCAAGGACTCCGGTGGGAAAAACCCACTGAGCCCAGTGATTTCTCCCGTGTCCTGGGGAAGTTACAGGCAGTGTTTTTAGATCGGTGCTGGGTGAAGTAGGCCTTAACCAAATGCCACCAAACTGCCCTCCTGTAATAGGCGCGTGTGGTGGGGATGATGACAAGGACCACAGCAGAAATGAGGATGTTTAGAGTATGATGGACACCAAACACCTGTCATTTCACTTTTTTTTCTACTAAAAAGAATTTTTCAACCCTATTGCTTGTCTGAGGTACAGGAATAATGCCTTATGTCCGTTCCCTACTGTGATTATTGCTGTAGGTTTTAAAAAAATATTATTGCAGGATTGTTACAGTGCAACAGTGCATTGGTCTTTCTGAAGATTAAACTGCTTTCCCTTCAGGTCACTCAGCATTTAACAGTAAACTCATCAAATAATATATAATTATATTAGAAAGGAAACATTTCTTATTTATTTTTCACCAAATATCTAGGTTACATACTCGATTTTCAACTACGTTCTTATTTCAGCAATCAAGTTTGTTAAATCTTTTGATTTGTTTCATGCATTACCTACAAATATCAGTTACATTGTGAATGAACAAAAAAGGAACAGGAATATTGTTTAGGAATGCTATAGACCCATTTTCCTTTGATGATTTAGGAGGCAATGGGTGTGCGGTGAGATCCCATGTGTTAGGGAAAGTCAGCAAGACTGAAATAAAGGAAATGGTTTACAAATTATAAACTATATTATCCACTTAGCAATTGAAAGATTTCTTCCCTCTGCTTTTCAATTTAGATTTTAAACTAAATAGCTGAAGACCCCCTGAAAATGCTCTGTATGAATCAAGCTTGGCACGTTATTTTCCATATCAATGGAGCAATTTATTTTATAAACACCCTGCTCTCCAGTATGCTTTGCAGGAATGCTTTATGCTTTGGGGAACTTGGATAACTGACTTTGAAATGGTCTTATTTCTTTCTACCTTAGTCCTGAAAACTGTTTCCAAATACGACTTTACCCTTGTTTTCCAGAGCATCTAAATAGGAGGCAAATGGTTTAACGTTGTGTGTGATCACACTAGTGCTTACCATTCAAGCCCAGTTTAGTGATTCAATGTTTCCCCAGGCCCAGGCGGGTGCACGCCCTGTGGGTGCCCACCTGCAGCAGTATTAAACCAGAGTTGCAGGTGTAGCTTGTTGCCAAGTGACAGACGATTGACAAGCCACAGCCTGTGCCAAGGAGGCAGTGGCAGGGCACTTGGTGCCAGACCTCCTAGTGCCTTCTCTCCTGGCATGAGGATTGAGGAGCATTACAGGAACTCCAGCCAGTGATGGCTTCTAGCTAGGAGCCTCAATTTCTTCCTCTCCCTCTAGTGACTCTTAAAAAAAGGGAACAGTCCAAAACCAATCTGATAAACACCTCTGTCTGCCTCCCACCCTCTCCCACCCAGTTGGCAGGGATGTCTTTCCTGTCCCACACCTTCCTAAAAGCCAGATTCTGGAGGATTTGAAGACTGATTATAGCACAAAGTCCAGAACCCAAGGCAAAGGATTAGTTACATTGTTGACTAACTGAAGTTGTTCTCTTGATAACACAGAAATTTCAAAACACTAAAGACAAAATCAACTTAGAAATGTGGCTAAAGATGTTTTCTGTGTTTTTGTTTAGCCTGTGGCCCAATCCTCGGATTTCGGGTTCAGTCCATCAGTAGAGGACGTTATGTGCACATGTGTCCATATGTATATCTGCAAGTGTGTGGCTGAAAGTGATGGATTGAAGCAATTACACAAGAGCCTTTGACTTTCAAATAAATTGAGTCCTGGGCTTCATACCATAAACTCAAATGGAGTGACTAACATATTTAGCTTTTGCACTCCTTCACCCGTCATCGTGTTCATAAAAAACCTGGGAAGCAGAGAGAGTCCCTGTGGACACAACCCGACCCCCTAGTCTTTCATGAAAGTTAACCTTCAAGCATCTAGATAGAGAGGGACTCTCTGTACTCAGTGTCTGTCTCAAACTCCAACACAGGGTGTGATGGACAGATGGGAGTTCTGGCCAGTACAAGAAAACAAGAAACCTCCTCCTAGTCCATCCCTGCTCAGGTAGTCTGCCCTAGTGACTTCCAGGGATCCTTGACCAGACCACAGCTCGCAGCCCCCTCCTTCAGCTGTAGCAGTTGATGGTGTCTTTGGAGGACTGAGGCCACATGGAGTTGCCTTTGCGAAGCTCCTAGGGGCGCAGCCTTCCCAGCCCTGGCGTTGCCCCTAAAGGTGCTGAGACTACAGTTCAAGGGTGGCAAAACACCAGGGAGCCTCCAGTTTTTAGGAGGGAGGGAGGGAAAGAGAGAGGGAGAGAGAGAGAGCAAGGACAAGGAGAGAAGGGATGAGGGAAGAAGAGAGGGAGGGAGCAAGAGGGAGAGGAGAAGGGGGGAGAGAGAAGAGGGACAGAGCAGGGAGAGGAGAGAAGAGAGAGAGAGACAGAGAGAAGAGAGAGGGGAAGAGGGAGAGAGAGAGACAGACAGACACACACACACACACACACACACACACAGAAGGACAGAGAGAAAGGGAGAGGAGAGGAGGGGGAGAGAGAAAGAGAGATGAGAAGAGGGACAGAGAGAGAAGGAAGAGGAGAAGAGAGGAAGGAGAGAGAGACTGACAGACTGGGAGAGAGAAGGAAGCAAAGAGCGGGAGAGAAAGTACAGTTCAAGTGTGAAGAGACCTTGGAGGTCACCTCGGCCAACAGGAGGCGCAGATCCAGGGCGAGGTGGGAGGTGAGCGGGCCGGGGAGGGGCCGCCGAGGGCGGGGCGGGCGCCGAGGCCGCGGTTCCTTCCCCCGTGCGGGGGCCGCAGGAGGTGGAGGGGACCCGGCCCCGGCCGCCCGCTCAGGCCCCGAGGTCCCGCTGCGCTCTGCGCTCGGCCCTGTCGCGGCGCGGGCCGCGATCGCCGTCTGCTGGCCGCCACCGCCCTCGCTGCCCTTGCGGAGCTACTTCGGGCTGTCGCCTCTGCCGCTGCGGCGCCCCAGGCCCAG